TCATCGTCGTGCGAAGATTGGTGCGCAAAACCCGCGACACAGAAAACCACGTATGAGATAGTTATGTTACCTAAGAATATCGTATATCCATAAATCCCTATAGATCTATAGGAGAAGATGAAAGAGGCCAAATGTCCTCCTCTCTAGTAGTGATCCACACAGCATGGCTGCGACAACGCTCATAAAATCTCTATGCTTGCTATTTGAGAGGGAGAAGGGGAGAGGAGAAGAGAAGGTGGCAACCAAGAAGCCCTAGCCTATGGGCCTTTAGTTCTGTTTTATTTATAGAGACCCCTAGTTAACTCTAATGGATCATACCCTATTGGGTATTGGATCTCCATCCAATTACCCAAGCCTCTTAGATTAGTGGGTCTCTACCCAATAATCTCTTATTAACCCTTACTGGATCTCATCCATGGGATCTAATAATTTAGGAGCTTATTGGATATCTAATAAGATAGGGGCCCCAAGAGATATCTCATATCTAAACCTCTAATCGTTGTAACACCTACCATATGTGTGTAACCCTTTAGGCCCAATATCGAGCAGGTCATGAGTAATACCTGTCAAAACTCATTCTAGCTCAGTGAATTATTATCTCCATAATAATTCACTCGACTCATCGACTACGGACGTACTAGGCTACTACGCCACAGTCCTCATGCGATACAGGGGAATCCAATCCTTTGGACCTATCTATCCTTAGTTACCGTGTACTTATAGTCCCTCATCCATCTAATATCCCAGAGACCATATACTGGGAATGGTGCTATAAAGCCCATACGGTTTCTCCTTGAGTCTCGCTCTAATCAGATTCTTCCGGAGAACTCTTTCTCTCTCAATCTGAATGACCTTGGCCAATGATTTGTTTCAGGAAGAATACACGGGATATTCCTCTCATGATACCGAGAGCAGATTATCCTCTATCGATACTCAATAGCCCTCGTAAGGTTGGTTGTCACTCCCAATGATCGACTGTACTAGATCTGAAACTTCCAAACCTATAAGTCTAATATCAAAGAGTAGAGTACTTATATAGGACATCCTTGATGTCTCAAGTTTAAGGACCAGATACACTATTAGGACTACGGAATCTTTGTCTGACAATAAGGCATCATCAACTATCTAGTATTCCGTGAGCGGATCAATCAATGAACTCATTCTCTAATGAGCACCTGCACTTTATCCTTAGTATCTCCACACGAGCAGCTATGAGACTAGCTGCCTCCATCATATAGATGGGTATACAACACACTAGTCTGTCCGGTTATCTCGATGTCCCTCTTGAGTAACCTATGAAAGGATTATTTAGGGTCTATGTTTAAAGGTGAATCGGTCTCATTATCGTGATCTCATCATGATCTGATTCCCAATGCACAAATCTATGAACATCACAATATATATTTGAAATAAGCAATATAATGTGAGAGAATGTCATAATAATATAATAAGTAAAAAGATTGTGTGTCATGTCACACGTGCCATCACTCATATGATTGGCTTACAGGGCACCTATGACTAGTATATCTGGTCATTAGACTTAAGACACCAATGATGTCATGTATGAGTACTCCACTCTTTGATACCAAATTTATAGGTTTGGAAGTTTCAGATCTAGTACAATCGGTCATTGAGAGTGGCAACTAACCTTACAAGGGCTATTGAGTGTTGATAGAGAATCATCCGCTTTCGGTATCATGAGAGAAATATCCCATGTGTTCTTGCTCAGACAATCCTTAGCCGAGGTCATTTAGATTGAAAAAGAAAGAGTTCTTGCTCAGACAATCCGATTAGAGCAAGACTCGAGGAGAAACCGTATGAACGTGACAACATCATGCCCGGTATATAGTCTCTGGGATTTACATGGATAAGGGACTATAAGTACACGGTAACTAAGGACAAATAGGTCCAAATGATTGGATTCTCCTATATCATTTGGGGATTGCGGTGTAGTGGTCTAGTACATCCGCAATCGATAAGTTGAGTGAATTATTATAGGGATAATAATTCAAGGAGTTCTGACAGATATGACTCATGGCCAGCTTGATATTGGGCCTAGAGAGTCACACAAATATGATAGGTGTTGCGATGAATAGAGGTTCGGATATGAGATATACGTTGGACCCCCTATCTTATTGGATATCTAATAAGCTCATAAATTATTGGATCATATGGATGAGATCCAATAAGAGCCACTGAGAGATTATTGGATAGAGATCTACTAATATAAATGACTTCGATAGTTGGATGAAGATCTAGTAGCCAATAGGGTAGGATCCATTAAGGTTAAATTAACAAGGGACCTCTATAAATAGGAGGGAATCAAATACTCATAGGCTAGAGGCTTCTTGGTTGCCACCTCTTATTCTCCTCTCCCCTTCTCCTCCTCGGATAGCAGGTGTGGATCACCATTAGAGAGGAGGGCATTTGAACTCCTTCATTTAATCCCACATATCTGTAGGAATTCAAGGATATATGATCTCCCTAGGTAAAAATACTATATCACACGTGGATTTAAGTTTTGCGGGTTCTTGCATACCAATTTTCGCATGACGATGAACACCTTTTGGAAAATTTGTGATTTTGTTTTATGTTCTTCCGTTGGGCATGTGATGTTGCTCATAGATTTTTCTATAGCACATACACCAACAACAATGCTTTCTTACATGATATCTTAACTAAAGATGTCTTTATATAGTAACCTTCTAGCTTCATCCATCCTTAATATATAAAGCAAACTATGAAAAGCTATTTGGACTTTGTTAAGCTCCAAGAGCCTAGTATACTGAACTTGGCTCATTTTTTGTATCAATTGGCTTCATCAACTCTAAGTCTATCGCTTCGTTATTTTTACAACAATAAAACAAAAGAGAAATACTATATATCTATTAGTGTATGTGGATGACATTATCATTACAGGTAATAATCTTATGGAAATCAAGCAATTCCTTAAGCAATTGACAAATTGATTCTCTAATCTAGGAACCCTAAGCTACTTTTTGGGAGTGGAAGCAATGTTCACATCTTTTGGATTTTTTTTATCTAAAAAAAAGTACATTCAATATCTACTATAAAAGACAAGCATTCAGAATGCCAAAGAAGTTGACACACCACTCTCCACTACTAAATCACTTAAATAATATGATGACAGCTTTACTACGGATCCCATATAGTACCTATAAGTAATTGGTTCCTTACAATACTTATCTCTTATAAGTCTAAACATCTCATTTGCAGTCAATAAATTATTACAATTTATTCATCGACCCTCCACTATGCATTGGTCTGTAATAAAACAAGTCTTATGATATCTAAAAAGGACTTTTAATCATGGACTTTTTCTTCACAAACACTAATCATTTCATCTTCATGCCTTCATCGATATTGATTGGGTAGGTAACATTAATGATAGAACATCTACGTCAATATATATTATCTTCCTTATAATAAATCGAATTAGTTGGAGTTCTAAGAAATAGAAAGTAGTCGTAAGATCCACCATTGAAGCTGAATACTAAATTATCACCACCACCACTACAAAATTTAATTGGCTCATCAATCTACTATAGGAACTTGACATCATCTCCAAATCTACTCCTACAATATACTGTGATAATATCGGTGCCACCTACCTATATGTCAATCTACTATTCCACTCATGCATGAAATACATTGTCATCGACTTCCACTTCGTTAGAGATCAAGTTGTCAAATATTAATTATGTGATTTTTATATACATACTTCTGATCAACTATATAGTAGATCAAGTTGCCAATCTACTATATACATACTTCGTTAGCAGACTTCCTCACAAAACCTTTCGCTCGTAAGACATTTTAATTACATCGGTCCAAGAGTGACATCCTTAATAAAAGTTCAATCTTACAGGGGGCATGATAAAAGATCATGATAAAGGTACATATAGAACAACATCCATGTTTCCTTATATTCTCAATTAATATATGATTTAAAGATCAATCATAGATTTGAGTAGCTAATTTAATTACGAGCGATTGATTGAGAAAAATCTCTTCATTAAAACTTATATAAATATTAATCTAGTCAATAAATCTCATCTTTTTTATAGCATATTTGTTAATTATATAATACAAACATATATTATGCTTGCGATGGGCAACACAACATTATTTCGTGGCCAACGAAAACTTGACATAGAATTCAATCATTGGCTAATAGACATGCCATGCTCGCTTTCGAAAGTGACAGTGTCTTGTTGGGATGCTATATATATATTCTCTCATTTAATTGACAGTTACAATATTAATAAATATTATATAGAATAATATTTTCAAGTAGGTGTTCCGAACACCTTACAAGCTTTTTTCGATTCAATTAAATCAAATCGATTTATTTAAAAATATATTTTTAAATTATTTAAAATTATAAACTAATTAATCAATCTTAAACCGATTCGAATAGATAGGTTCAAATCGATTTTCATTTAGACCGACCTATCTTACTTTAATCAAACCGAATAAAAAATCAGTTCTATTTGGTTGTCATTGATGATTCTAGTTATAATGTTGTTAGATTATTATTACTACTATCATCATCATCAAATTATCGAATTAGTTGTACTATGACTAACTAACTTATTACTTCATTATCACCTTCTCTACCGGTAATGCTATCATTATCATTAACTACGAATGCATTTGCGTTCATCAGTATTATTCCTCCTACAATAGCATTACTATCACCATCAACGTTGCCACCGAGCCCAATTGCCGTCCTTGATAAAATTTGTCCGAGCCCTTTGTTCTAGCCCGTCTCGCAGATCACTTCATATTACGGTTCAATCTTCTTCGTACATAATCGAATCGAGGAAGTAAGGATTTGATCCATCGATTCTAATTCGTCTGAGGTGACCCGATTTTGATCGACCGGCTCGGCCCGGCGCCGAGCGGTCCGGGCCGGTCCGTCTCGAATCATAATTTCATGGGGTTCATGTGTTGGGTTTAGTTCTGCGCAAATGTACTCCTGGATAGTCATGGCGGACTGCAGGAAATGGGAGAAGAAACGACAACGTTAACAGGACACCGGGACGATACTATGTGGATTGCTTTACTATTATCAAGGCACCGAAAAGATTAGTTTAGGGAGATCGCAACGAGGGAGGGGGGAGCAAAGATACCCTCGCTTTCCCCGCTTCCTATGAAGCCCTAGCCAAAAGGAAGCATTCCGAGGTTCCTTTTTCCTTGCTTTTGCGTGTGATTCTCAAGGGGCGCCTGCCTTGTGATTCCTGTCCTCGGCGTTTCCGCGCAAAAAGGTGCTGCCTTTGGGTATGTTTGCTTGTGGTTTTGCTGCGTTCTTGATGTGCCTGTTCAGTGGATTTACAAGCCCATTTGTCTCTTCAAGAGAGAACCCTGCATTGTGATTCTTGTTTCTCTGCGTTTACGGGAAAAAGGAGCTGCCTTTCGGTATGTTTGCTTGTGGTTTCCGGTGTTCTAGATGCGCTTATTCAACGGGGTACCCATGCCTCTTTCTTCATTCACATTTCAAGAATGTGTTCTAGCGAAAAAATAGCATTTTTAAAGAGAGTCAAAAGTAGTTCTCTTGATGCTTAGATTAGCGCAGGGCAAGAGAATTTTGTGTTGATATGGTTCAAGTAATTTGTTTGTGTTTCTGAGTGACTTCCTGTCGAGTGAGATGAGAAGCTTTGATGGAGGGATCTTCTCGTTGCTTCTTTCTGCGTTGTCTATGGATTTGCCTGCTAGATTTGAAAAAAGCAAAACCGATTGTTGTTGGTACTAGTGAAAATATAGTAGCCTTACTCATATTTGTTGCAGATTTGGGGTAATGATGCACGCTCCATCCAATAAGAGAACTGCAGCAGAAAACGGGGATGGAGGGATTGATGTGGTCCTCATGCGGTCGCTCGGAAATGGGGAGGATTTAGGCCCCATTGTTAGGTATGCTTTTGAGTGTGGAAAACCTGAGGCCCTCTTGCACCAACTCAGGAATGTTGTTAGGAAGAAGGAAGTGGAGATTGAAGAACTGTGCAAACTTCATTACGATGAATTCATCCTTGCAGTTGATGAGTTACGGGGTGTGTTGGTTGATGCTTATGATCTCAAGAGCTCTCTATCAAGTGAGAATTTACGGCTACAAGAGGTGGCAAGTGCACTTCTGTTGAAGCTCGATGAGCTCCTTGAGTTGTACTTGATTAAGAAAAATGTCACAGAGGCCATACAAACGTTGAAGGTATGTGTGCAGGTCTCAAAACTATGCTTAGCTTGCAACATGCATGTTGCAAACAATCGGTTCTACCCTGCACTGAAGATCTTGGACTTGATCGAGAAAGATTACCTACAAAACACTCCACTTAAGGCCCTGAGGAAGGTGATTGACAAGCAAATACCTGCAATTAAGCTGCACATAGAGAAAAAAGTGTGCAGTGAGTTCAATGATTGGCTTCTTCACATAAGGAGCATAGCAAAGGAGATTGGGCAGTTGGCTATAGGACAGGCTGCTTCGGCCCGTCAAGGGGATGAGGAAAAGCGGGCTCACCAGAGGGAAGCTGAAGAGCAGAGTCGATCTGGTGTTAATCCTGTGTATGCATTGGACTGTGAGCATATTGATGAAGATTCAGTGCTAGAGTTTGACCTGGCTCCTTTATATCGTTCGCACCATATACACACATGCTTGGGCATCCAAGAAAAATTTTGTGAGTACTATTACAATAACCGGCTAAATCAGCTGAATTTAGACCTGCAGATCTCGTCAGCACTGCCCTTCCTTGAATCTCATCAACCCTTCTTTGCACAGATTGCTGGGTTTTTCATCGTGGAAGCTCAAGTTCTGCGAACTTCTAGGGGGTTGTTGTCGGAGAGTCAGGTGGAGAGTTTATGGGATTCAGCTATGTCAAAGATGAAATCTGTTCTAGAGGATCAGTTCTCTCATACAAACACAGCAAACCACCTTCTACTCATCAAAGACTTTGTTACTCTTTTTGGTGCCACTCTTTTGCGTCATGGGTACCAGGTAACACCTTTGCTTGAGGTTCTTGATAACAGCAGAGACAAGTACCATGAACTTCTCCTTAGTGAATGCCGCAAGCAAATAGGAGACATCCTCGCAAGTGATACGTTTGAACAGATGGTGATAAAGAAAGAGTATGAGTACAATATGAATGTGGTGTCATTTCATCTTCAGTCCTCGGATACAGTGCCAGCTTTTCCATTTATTGCACCATTCTCTTCCTCTGTTCCAGATGCATGTCGTGTAGTGCGTTCCTTTATTGAGGACTCAGTTAGCTATCTATCATATGGAGGTCATATCAACTTTTATGATGTTCTAAAGAAATATCTTGACAAGCTTATGATTGATGTGCTGAATGAAGCTCTGTTGAGCATGATCCATACTGGTAATTTAGGTGTATCACAGGCAATGCAAATTGCAGCCAACATAGCTGTTCTTGAGCACACTTGTGATCTTTTCCTGTGGCAGGCTGCCCAACTTTGCTCAGTCCCATTACACTTAGTTGAGAGGCCTCATGCTGGATTGACTGCTAAGGCTGTTTTTAAGGCATCGCAGAATGCTGCCTATAATGCATTGTTGAATGTGGTTGATTCTAAGTTGGATGAGTACCTTGCCCTCATGAACAGCATCAATTGGACAGCTGATGAAGCCCCCGAACATGCAAATGATTACATTCATGAAATTGTTATTTATCTTGACTTATTGATCTCTACTGCTCAGCAGATTTTGCCTTTAGATGCTCTTTACAAAGTTGGGGTTGGTGCATTGCATCATATTTCTGATTCGATTGTGGCAACTTTTCTTAGTGAGAGTTTAAAGAGGTTCAACCTCAATGCCATCATTGGCATTGACAATGATCTGAAAATGTTAGAAGCCTTTGCAGATGAAAGATTTCAAAGCACAGGTCTGAGCGATTTAAAGAGGGATTGCATTTTCAGAGATTGTTTAGTAGAATCGAGGCAGTTGGTGAACCTTTTACTGAGCAATCAGCCTGATGATTTCGTGGATCCTGTTATAAGAGAGAAAGATTATGGTGCTCTGGACTACAAGAAGGTTGCAACTATCTGTGAAAAGTTAAAGGATTCACCAGATAGGTTGTTTGGGAGCCTTTCTAACCGGAATGCAAAGCAAAATTCTCGGAAGAAGTCAATGGACACGTTGAAAAGGAGGCTGAAAGATTTCAGTTGAATTGATCATGCGGTCGGGATATGTCATCATGTTATGGATTTATAGACTCCCTGTAGAACTTTTTTTTTTTTCGTTTCTTGAATGTTGTGATTATCTACTTAATGCAAGTTCAATCATTCAGAACCTCCATTAAGTTACCATAAGAAATTAGTATGCAACACATTAGTTTCAAGTTCCCATAATTGTCTTCTAATATTTTCGTGTATCACATTAGAAAAGTTAAATCTAACTTTTACCATACAAATTCAATTTTTCCATGACATGATTTAGTCATGTTTAGAAATACTTTACCAAGTGAAATTTGATTTAACAATTTTAATTACAGATGGAGTTGTTGATGTTTGAATTTTTCCCTATGTGATGTATGTATGAAGAACCAAACACAATTTTTTGTTTGGAATATATTTAATGCTGCTCATGGCAGAGTATTTATTTCGGCCGTTTGAAAGATGGATTCATTGTTATATATTCCTTTTTAATGCTGTATTCTACTTCCCTTTAAGCCTTTCCTCATTGTGTACTTGATCTGCATGTCCTAAGTTTCTACGATAGTGAGACGCTGACCTTGTTTTCATTGTTCCTTGTTCTACAGTGATTTTTCTGGTCATCATAAGAGTGGGAGTACTGCAATGAGAGATTCTGTTGGCTGCATCTGCTGTAATGTAAACTAACTTGTGTAGTTTGTAACTTCAGTTATGTTGTCATACTATGTTGGCTGAAATCTAATCCCAAATAGTTGAACTGTCACTTAGGTTATTGTAAATTTCTTTGCTTTTTCTATGTAACACAGTAATCTACAACAATTATGTGTTCTCTTGTTGCCATAACCAGCAACTCTATCATTCTTCTCCTTGTGCAATCTTCTGATTTGGTTTTAGAACTCTTTTGAAGACCAAGGAGAAGCACAGAGAACAAAGAGATGAGTTCTTGTTGTAGTTTTGTGTATGTAATATGGAAGTGGGATCAGGAAACAATTTGCCTGCTTCAACAAGCTTCAACTTGACATTTTCTCAGAGATTTAATGCAATTATGCCTACTAAAGTTTATTGGGTTGGTTATTGCATTATTAATTTGCTGATGTTAGGAGTTGGGACAAAATATTGGTTATTGTGTAGTAAGATTTCTTGCATTAGTTTTAACATGAAGATTTATTCGATGCATATGAATCAATGTTTTGAAATCCAACGATCTGGTTCATCTACCTCAGTCTAATTCATGCATGAACTGTTCTTACGAACTAATAATTTTAATTAATATATTGAGCATTAATCAGAAACACTTTTATAAGGATAAAATATTAACATTAACAAAAATGGCGCCAGTATCTCTGTTGGTAGAGCGTCTGTTTCCCAAGTAATAGGTTCGACGCTTACGTGGCTTGAATATTTTTAATATGTTATGATATTTTAATCTTTATTTTCAAAATCTATTGATAATTATTTTTTAATAAATTGTATAAGTATAATAGTAATAAATGATTTTTATTCACTCATCGTATGTTTTTGCTAAGAAGCTCGTTCTCAAATCCACAACTCCATTGTTGATTTATCATAATTTCTTGATGTTAGTGTGGATTTAGAATTTTTTTTTGTTTGAATATTTTTAATATGTTGTGATTTTTTTAATCTTTGTTTTCAAAATCTGATGATAATTATTTTTTCAATAAGTTTTATAAGTATAATAATAAAAAATGACCTTTATGTTTTTGCTGACAAGCTCATTCTCAAATCTACAACTCCATTGATGATTTATCATAATTTTTAGTGTGCATTTATATATATATATATATATATATATATATATAT